TCTCTCTCGAACGGCTGAATCTGCCCATCGACCAAATTGATGTTACTTATCTTGCAGCGGGCGAATTCCTCATTCCCGGCTTTATCGACACACACAACCACGCGCCTCAGTGGGCGATGAGAGGGCTGGGGCAAGGTTTACACATCCTCGACTGGCTCGATCAGATTACCTTTCCACAGGAGTCCAAATTTGCTGATCCCGCCCACGCCAAGCGTGTATACTCGTCGTGTGTGGACGGCTTTCTTCGCCAAGGGACCACGACGGCGAGTTATTACGGCTCAGTTCACGGAGAAGCCACCAAGATCCTCGCCGATCTCTGTCTCGCAAAGGGCCAGCGAGCGTTTGTCGGGAAATGCAACATGACTCGAAACTCCCCAGACTCATACCGCGATGCTTCTGTTGAAAACAGCTTGCAGGTGACAATGGAATGTATTGCCCACATCCGGCGCATTGATCCCAACGCAGAGCTCGTCAAGCACGTTCTGACGCCAAGGTTTGCAATTTCGTGCACCAACGAGACATTGCAAGGCCTCGGGCAGATCGCAAAGGAGAATCCGGACCTGCCGGTGCAGACTCATTTCAACGAAGCTGAGCAGGAGATTTTGGCGACCACGGAGCTGTTCCCGCAGTTTGGAGGTAGCGAGGCAGACCTGTACGAACATTACGGGCTGCTGGGTCCTAGAACGATATTGGCGCATTGCTGTCACATGACGGAGCATGAGATGAAGAGGATCAAGGACCTGGAATGCGGAGTGGCGCATTGCCCGGTGTCGAACATGACTGTCGGTGGTGGTTTTATGGCTGCACCGGTGCGCGAGTTTATGCGGCGGGGCATCAAGGTAGGGTTGGGGTCCGATAGCGGCGGTGGCTTTTCGAGCAGCATTCTGGATGCGATGCGGCAGGCAATGATTGCCAGCCACGCGAGGGAGAAGATGACGGAGGGAAAGGACAAGTCGTTGAGCATCGGCGACGTGTTTTATCTTGCAACGTTGGGTGGCGCGGAGGTGTGCGGATTGGCCGAGAAGGTTGGCAATTTTGAGGTCGGCAAGGAGTTTGATGCATTGCTGATTGGGACGAGGGACAATCCGGGCATCATGACGATGGTTGAGGATGGCGATGATTTAGGAACCATTTTTGAAAAGTTCATCATGACCGGGGATGATCGGAATATTCTTGATGTTTATGTGAGGGGAAGATTGGTCAAGGGAAGGCCCATGGAGACAGCGTGAGCTCGGGACCGCGATTTAAGATTAAAAATAAAGGTCCCCAACGGACCCATGGCAAGGTGCGGCGGCCAGACATGCCTTGTCTACCTATACAACAGTGCACGCGTTCCTTCTGCTCCACTATCTGGTCCTCAAACATATCATTGTCGCACATTCTTCCAAAGGCAATCCTGTTGTGGCCCCACCACAGAATCAGATGGTCAACTCACAGGGCAAGCCGCGAAAAGGAGAAGCATCAGCCAGTGCCGCTTGCCTTCCGCTGGTCGTCTGTAATACCTGACAGTTCTTTATTTGCATGTGTCAACGATAACTATATTTCATTACTATCTCTGATGTGGGTAAAGACTGTTTACGCGGAGAGCTAACCTACGCACGAGAACAACCAAACCACGGCACAGCCCCTACTTGAATGCCTTGGCTCAATTCAGCATGCTAGTATGCAAATTGACCACTTATTAAACATAAATGTAACACAGTGGGCCGCCTCCCTGCCCGACCGTCGACATGAGATCGGCAATCGGCCGAGGTCCCTGAGCAAGGGAATTGAAAACACCCATGTCCAAAATATCTTCCAAGGTTCCATTGATGCCCGGTGGTGGGCTGAGTAAGCTAGTTATGCCGTCGATAGCGTTCGTCCTCGCTCCGGGGTCGAGATTCTGCCAGATCCACCAAGTGCGATCAACCTGAGCATGGTGGAGGTAAAAGGCAGGATCACCGGGACTTGAAAAGAAGTCGCCGCCCGGATCGCCCCCTATAGTGTAATGGCCGGCCGCGTGCACGCCATAGAAACCGTTGGGAAAATCGCCTTGCATGTGGTTTTGAAACGACCCGATGGTGGGATAGTTGGTGAGAAGGTCATAGCTCTCAAGGTCCGTACTCCATCGGGAGCTGACCCACTGGCTAATGTCACGGCGCAGGCAGCGAGGCTTGTGGCCGAATAAGCCATCGGTCAGGTTGACGGCAATGTTGTCGGCCCTAAGGGTGGGGGCAAGCAGGCCTAGGTTGACAGTCATTTCGGCGAAGGGTCCGGACTCGACACATCCACCGCCCGTGCCGGGAGGGATGCAATTGATGCCGTTGGCGAGGGCATCGGTGCAGTTGTGCGGGTAATAGGCACCGTTGCCGCTCATCGAAGTATCGCTGCCGTCGAAAATGGGAGAGCCGAGAGGGTCGTGAGCAGACTTGCCCCAGTTCCAGTAAGGCTGCCAACCTTCGTAGTTGCACTCGCTGCGGAGTGCTTGTTCGTATGTCCAGGTAAAGTAACGATGCCACGAGAGGAAACTGGCAGTGCCGTGAATCTCAAAGGTCTGGTTGATGTGGATGGCGACGAAGTCATCAAACCGACTCTTGGCCCCGGGTACTTGAACGGGGTCAAGAGCCGAGGGCTTGGCCATCAGGCACTTGACGGCGGCGATGTACGCCCTTCGTTCTGGGGGGTTTAACGAGCCCCTGGATTTGGTCAGTATTGGGTCGTAGGGCCACAAGGGGCGAGAAACTAGGATGGGTGCTAAGGTAAGGTGATTACCTACCATTCACGGCGACGAGCCACATTTTTCGAGTTGCATGCCGAGTGTTTCGAGTTCAGACCCGCATGGAGAGTCAGCTTGGTTAAAGCTTCAGCAGCGAGCACGTCCGTCTGGGCGGTCGAGCTGGGCTTGTACTTGGCAGCAGAGACCGAGAGAACGGCGCTCCCTGCCAGGGAGAAAAGCAAAGAGGAACGCATTTTGCTCAAGCTTGGTCGGCTCTTGCAACCTGGATACAGGGTGATAAAAAAAAAACAAAAAAACACATGTTTGTCCGGAGGACTGGCATTGGCTTTATACATCATCAGATAAAAAGGCTTGATACGTACTGCAAATGACCTACCTAATCACCCCAGGGGTCTGTGGCAGGGCATTTCCATGCTGCCCGGGGTTGTACATAATAACATGACTGATCCCAGATGCAGGTACGCACGACCCCATTCAGAACCACCAGTAAACCTACCCATCCAGCCAATCTCGAGCCTCTCCGCCATTCTCGGCACCACGGCGAGGTGGTAATTACAATGCAGTTGGGTGTATGTCGGAGGGTTGCGATCAATAGCGCTGTTCCAAGGCCCCGATTCTCGGTTCCAATCCCACCAAAAAAAAAAAAAACTAGCCCCCTGCCCCTTGACGTTACACAAGCGAGACCTACCGCGCTTCTTTGATACCTACGGCGTATTCTTCTCTTCAGCCTACCAATATGAGCCGTCTGGAGCTTGTCTTGATATGGAACAGCGAGGCCTTGGTGTGACATCGCGCGGTATTCTCAACGTAACCATGTCAAAGAACGCGGCATCTCTTTCCCGGTAAAGTCTTCTGCAGCCTGACTTCCACCGTGCGTCCTGGGGGCTTCGGAAGCCCACGTCGCTTGCGCATGACGAAGGATTTAATTGCATTTGTTTTCTACACGTGTAGAACTCAAGCGAAGCATCTAGTGCGCTAAACTCATACTAGGGTTCATGATGAACTCAACACATCTCCGGTGGAAATATGATCTTGCCGAAAGTCAGGTAAGCTTGGAAATCCTTGTAGAGTATTACTAAGAGTTGAATTGGTTCTTGGCTCTTGCCACAAGCATAAAGATGTTTCACAATCTAAGAAACCACCGCTCAGGGGAAAAAGTTACTGCGAACCCAGTGAGGATATGTATCCCTTGGGTGATTTTTCCATTAATTCGTCAATAAACACGCGACGTGCCTCGTCAGAACCGGCATGATACTTTTGCGAGTAGATTTGCCCACTCCTGGGCTTACACCCTTGAAGGCCAAAGGTGTCCATCCGTATACTGATTCTTCGAGTGTGTGAGCTTATACTTGTGTAGAAACGTGAGTACCTTTGGGTTTTGCTTGCCGTGGCGCATACTATAAGAACATTGACGAGGTCGAGACTCCTCATCCCCCATACTTTTTTCCGCATCACAGGCATGCAGCCATGGCGTCCGCGGAGATCCAGGTTAATTAATGCTAATGAGAATTCTACTTGGGCTGAATTGGTGACATCTTTCACCTAATTAGACAGCCCCCTTTAGTCCCCCTTTACAACCCCCATACTGGACGTTATAAAACATGTGCAAAAAATAGCCTCGAATGCACTGGAAACCGTAACCGCTCGAGCCCTCATATTACCTGGCGTATCCTGCCGAGGCAATATCCAAGCCCCCGCCCACCCTCTCTCTTTCCTGATAGTGCGATTAGACATCCACCATCAAGAACTATGCCTACTTACACAGCTGACAACAGCGGCCGTTGTCAACTATACATCAAGTGCGTTCCTCAGTTGCGGCCCTCCGTCAGATACAGTGTCTGGAGTCTGATCCTTTAGGGATGAAGGGCAACTGAGAGTCCCGCCCTGGAAGTTGGCCTACGGTGGCTATGTTGAAAAGAGGTACTGCCCCCATGGCGACCTTGGTCAGTTGGGTAGTTTCAATGACGATGCACAGCAGAAAGAATGTGTTGAAGGCCGCGAGCAGGAATACTTGAAGCAAGACTCGATGGAACAGAGGGGATGCCAGACAAAAAGGACCCGGACACCCAAGAGTGACACGAGTGGTTACGCCACGTTTCTGGCAATAATGCAGTGAATTGATCAAGCTGTGAACTCGAGTGAGAAGGGGGGAAAGCTCCCGTATTGAGACAGGGGAAGTTGACTATTTGTAGCCTCGTGATCGAGATAGCCGCCCGCTTTCTTTTTTCTGACAAGCATTGATAGGGGCAGATCTATGGACACAACATCGTCAACATGATGAGTTGCCCGCATGGCTCAGTGGTAGAGCGTGTCACTAGTAATGACAAGGTCGTCAGTTCGATTCTGGCTGTGGGCATTGAATGTTTATTTTTACCAAATTTTTGGTATTGTTGCTGGTCGGTATTGTTCCCAAAGAGAAAGAGAAATTTTTCTCTCATTTTTTTTTTGGTGGCTGCGAAAGTGGGATTGTGGGTTGGGAAAATTGGAGAAAGGTGGCTAGCCAATCCATATTTGGACAGTTGGTTGAGCGGGGTCCGTGCGAAGCGAGGCGAGCTAAACCTCTTTGGAGCGGTGCTGAATGGGTGGACCTGATCATCTCACTTCAAGGATCCAATTTGGGGACCCACAATTGAACGGCGACTGCCGGCCCAACGCCTGTTCGAACCTTTGCATCGTGACCTGCTTGGGGCCATCGGCACCGGAATCGAACGATACCGAGGATATACGTTCTAGATCGTCACCTTCGATATCGACTCTTAGCACTAATTATCTTTCTGTTTATAAAAAATGGCAACGCCCGACTCCCCCGGGTCCCTGGTGGCCATGCCCATCACTAACGACATCCTCGCCGCCGTCTACGCATCAGATCAGGCCATGTACCCAGTTCCGCTGTCAAACAACCGCCTCCGCGACTGGGTGTCGGGGTGTCCGGATCTTTCAATCTGCTTTCAGAGCCCCAAGCAGGGCCTCATGGGTGTTGTCATTGTGCTGCCCCTGCTCAGGAAATACTGGGAAGAGCTGCTCTCGGGCAAGCTGAAGGAGTTTGATATTGACCCCAAGACCATGTTCCCCGACACCACAGCGACCCTGCCCCACCAAAGAAACCGGAAGCCCGTACAAGTTGGTCTTCACGTCTATCACATTGAGCGTCTTGCCGTCGAACCACCCACCCCCAACCAACGCCGGTTCTCCGAGGTGGCCATGGAGGAGGTGACGCGTCGGGCTCAGGAGAGATGGGACTGGGAAGTTGTTGGCATGTCAGGTAAGCCTTTGGACAAGGAAACAAAAATACACTCATCTTCTACTCAAAGTTACTAACCATGTCCCATCACAGCCCTCACGGCCACCGGAGCCGGGAAAAACACCTTCCAGCGCATGGGTTTCAAACCAACAGGCTACAGGGAAGTTTTTGTCACCAAAAAGAGTCCCACGACGCCGACCAGGACAAACTTTGAAGGTCGCGAGTTCGGGACCGAGGGTCACGAGGTGGAAATGCTCTGCATCTACCCCGAAGACGAGGGCGGCGTCGTCAGGAGTGTATCAGACATAATACCTTATGGCCAGACGCTCGTCTCAATGTCGGAGATGACGGTCAAACATGTCCTTGAAAACAGCAGCAGCGACGACAGCAACAACAGCAACAACAGCAACAGCAACAACAACCTCAGAGACTATTCAATACCTGTTTGAACATGTTGACCGCCCGAGTTCAACACCTATAAAATCATCATGGCAAGAGGCGTTTTTGGGGTGAAAAGCAAAGGGACAACAAGGGGATTCCTAAGTTCTGCATACATGTTTTATTTTTATTTTTATATTTTTTTTCGTTTTTATTTCTTTTTTTCTTTTCTTTTTCTTGGAATAAATAGTGTCCCTTTCTCCGATAATATCATTACTCCGCTCTGTTTCAAATGCCTTTTTTCAAAGCCGCTCTCAGGTGTCATTATAATGTACAGACAAGCATGGTGGAGGATTCTAGGGTATGGATTGCATACCTAGCAGCTATGATCGGAATGGCGGTACATAAAATAGTAAAATTATCCGCGACAAGCTTGAATCATAAGTCAGTCTACCTACATAGATAGCCAGAGCCCGCACACACACACACACACACACAAACACCAGTGATCACAATACCAACCTACACAGTATAGGTACCTACCTTAATATAAGAAGCACTGATCCTGATAATCGTCAAGAAACTCTCATGCCCTGGTTGAAGCTACCAACACACGATGCTGGCTGTATCACACACATACACATGTGCCATCCAAAGTGTTTAATATTTGACCGAGGATCTATAAATACATGAAAAATAAGTACACCAACATTTTCTCAAACAAACAAAAAAAGAATCTGATCATCGTCTGATCGGGAATTGAGCCCGACGTGGGGGTCGAACCCACAACCTTGAGATAATATCGGAGAACCCCCTTAAGAGTCTCACGCTCTACCGATTGAGCTAGCCGGGCAGGCTAGATTTGTCTTTTCTTGTCTTTCCTTTATTTTCTTTTTTTATTTGAAAATAAATAAATTAAATGTTAAAAACCTGGTATTATTTGCCCTAGATTGGTGGCGTGATGAGTGAGGGATATTTGAGTTTGAGTGGTTTGAATTTTTTTTTTTCCCCTTAGGCTGAGTGGAAGGTTATCTATGGAGTCTACTCCACTCTTTACTGAGTGGCAAGGCTAGAAAATTTTTAGTCAAAGTAACTAAGATATAAAAGAAAAAAGACAAAAAAAATTATCTTGGCAATAAAAAAGATAAGAAGGGCAAAAATAACAGGCATTTAGAAAAGGTCCTACCCGGAATCGAACCGGGGTTGCCGGAAATGTTTCTTTTTTTTTATTTCAGAATCCGAAGTGCTAACCGCTACACTATAGAACCGATTTATTTTCTAGTTGAGGTTGCCGCGCGGGATTCAACCCTTATGTTGGTCAGCGGCTGGGATGGAGTTGGTGGGGACGATCCACAATCCTGCATCACGCAGCACTTCTCGTCTCAAAATTGCGTTGGGTTGCTCCAAGATGACGGCACTTGAAAGAACCGACGAGAGCCGACTTCGTATGTCCATGAGGGATTTGGTGATAGAAGCTGCGAACCTGAGTTTATGGTGAAACTCCATGGGTGTAGAAGGTTCTCATCGGCCGGAAGTCTTTGATGACACACCAGAAAACTCTTCAAACTCTATATTCAACCCTCAAACTGGCCATCAACGTCAGATCATCCTGCATTCTTTGGCGTCTCATTTCCTCTTGGCGGCAATACAGGGCAGGGGTGGAAGGATCAACGAGAGGCTCCATGCCCTCCTCGTCTGCACAGGCCCTGCAGTCCACTCGACGGCTGTCCGTCAGTTCAGCCCAAGGCCAGGCACACGACTCGACAAGGAAGCTGTCATGGGCTACCCACACACACTGTCCCGCTTCATTGAACGTCACCTCTGGACGGGATATTCCGTAATCTAGCTCTGAGATCCAGAGTCAATCATAAGTAGGTAGATGTGAGGGTTACCTCACGGGCCAGGTGGATCTTTGCTGATCCAGCCATCCAGATCCAAACTGCCATTGCAAACCTTTTCATACCTTGGATATGAAGTAACCAGACTTGTTCAAGATCTTCATTTTCTCTCTGCAGTTGTCCTACTCAATACCTCTGCACAGCGTCATATCATCATCTTGTTGACGACAGTTGGACCTCTGAGGCCCACAGTCGGCCGGTTTCACAGCAGAGGCAAGATCCACGAAAGATGGCCCGAAGTGGAAGTCGTGATGTCGATGAGCCAAAATCTGCCATCAAAACAAGGCAGGAGGAGGGAAGGCTGACATGCTCGACATGCTGAACCTCGCACACACAACTGTCGACAGTGATGGAAGGACACTTCGTGAAGGCTTCACAGGCATGAGGAGGTGTGAATTCAAGTTTGGAGCCAGAAATGCCTACATAAACTTCCATCATCTCTCGCCATCGAAACCTGAAGTTCCTCATCAGCATCAGCAGCAGCAAAAGTCAAGCCGCCTAAACTTTCAAACAAAGCCTTCAGAACTTTCACCACCCAGCCCTATAAAAATGCAGGTCGCCACCGTCTTCACCACCCGGGCTACCGCCATGACCGCCGTTGCTCTTCCCGCCAGCGAGAACGGTTCTCGCTCCTCGCACCGACACGGTTCCCAGCTGCAGCGGCGGCAACACCAAGCCCGTCTGCTGCGACGACAAAACTACAGTACAACCGTCATCCTCACCCCCATTCTAAATATCCACGTTACCATTCCTGTCTGCAATATCGCTGTTGTTGGCAGCGTCTGATCTGGAAAACCAAACTGCTGCAACGTTCGAGGGCAACAAGGTTATAGATGTTTGAGAAGCTAGAAACAGAGACAGAGAGACTAACAAGAAATCAACTTGATTCAGGGCGATGCCCTCGTCAGCGTTAACGCTCTTGATGGAGTGCGGCCTCATTGGCTAAAATCCACGCCCACGGTACCTAGAAGATTGCATTGGAACTTGAAAAAGACGTCGAAGCTGTAATTATGGGAACTGAAAGCTGGGGGTTGTCCTTGACATTTGGTCTCGCTTATTCTTCGGATTTGTCTCATTGAGGCCCGGGTGACAAAAACTATCACGCTCGTTTTTCGTGTACGATAATGACTCGGATGCCCCTTAGGACTGCTCTCAGTTTAATTTTATAACCCTGTTGCCGGCTACAATCTTTGATAAACGGTTGCGTGGTGTTCCCTCTCACAGATACACATGCCACTACGTACCTCCTCAGACATGCTGGCTTCTGATGAATCTCAACTTTCTGCTGCTCTTCGGATGGTATCCCAACAACAGCTCAACCAACTGTAGATCCTCTCTCCCAAAATCCGGGTGCACTTCAAGATCGTCCCACCTCCTGATGACAGCTGCTACGGCATAGTACAGCTCACACATGGCGAGGTTCTGTCCAATGCAATTCCGCTGCCCCCTGCCAAACGAAACCAGGCACCGCTCTCGAGCCCACACAGCGTCTTGATCATCACCCATCCACCGTGCGGGGTCGAACCTTTCGGGCTCGGGGAACAGATCGGGGTTGTGATGCATCTGCCATGCACTCATGCTGACGACTGTTCCAGGGGGTACCGCATAACCGTCAAACGTCGCACCGCCGGCGGGGACAACCCGAGGAAGATGCCCCGGAAGTCCCGGGCTCAGCCTTTTAGCCCAATATACATGTCAGCGGTCTTCTTTCACCTAATGCCCATTCCTGGGGGGGGTTTATACAGACCTCAAAGCCTCCTTCACCACCCCCGTCAAGTACGGCAACTTCTCCAGCTCGACCAGGCTGATACTATCCATCTCAAACACGGGAATCGCCTCGACCAGCTCTTCCCTCAGTCTCTTGTAAACCCCCGGAGAGCTCACAACCTCGAATAACGCCCGACAAGCCGTCGCCCCGGTCGTCTCGGCCCCGGCCCCGGTAAGGTTGACAGCATCAGCAAAGACAATCTCATCCGACAGCGCCGGCTTCTCCTTTTTATCCATCTCATCCGACCCCTCCACGCCCTCGGCAGGATCCATCAGCTCGTGGAATATCGTTCGCCTCGAGGGCTGAACCCCCAGAGATATCTCTTTCCTCACCCTAGCCACGGCAGCTTTCACTGTCTGTAATTAGGTAATTAGTCCCCCAAGTCCCGACCCTCTTTTGAAATTTTTTTTTTTTAAAAAAAATTGGTAATCATATCATTAAACCACGGCAAAAAAAAAAAAAAAAAAAAAAAAAAAAAAAAAAAAAAAAAACCCCCCAAAAAAAAAAAAAAAAAAAAAAAAAAAAAAAAAAAAAACATACCTCGAGACTCTCAAACCACTTCCCAAAAGCCGGCACGAGCTTCACGTTTACCCAGTCGGGTATCATGCCGAATATCGGCAACAAGAAGGGAAAAGTCTGAAACCACGGAAACAGGAGCTGGACCGCTCTGATGGCGTCTTGGTAACCTTGGCCCCTATAAGAATTTTTTTTTTAGTTATATTTTAAACTCGTCAGCTTTCTTTATCTCCCTTTCTCTTTTTTTTTCCCTAGTTTTTTTTTCGGGGGGGGGGGGGGGGTTTCTGAGAATGTTGTGTTTTTGATTTAAAAAAAAAAAAAAAAAAAAAAAAAAAAAAAACTTAAAACCTTACCAATCACCTTTACCCAGCTGTTCCCAACTTTCCCCGTAGGCGTACTCGGTTATTATGTCGACGCTGACGGCCCTCATTGCCCTGTGGGCGTCAAATTCCCCCTTTTCATTTCCCTTTCCCGTACCCGTACCCGTACCAGTACCAAAAGCCTCCTCCATCAAGTGGATCACCCGCCCCATCTTGTCGCGGACGATGCCCTCCAGCCCTAGAACCTCTCGCCTCGAAAAAAAAGGGCTGAGCGGGACCCGGCGGGCCCGGTGCGCCTCGTTCGATATGACGGTGAGGATTATGGGCGTCTTCAGGGGTCCCTGCATCGGTCCGTAAAACGAAGGGTCCTTGTAGAACCTCGTCGAGACGGAAGAGGTGTAGAGCGTCTCGTAGTGGGCCGGGTTGGAGAGGTGGAGGGAGGAAGGGGTGAGGCGGACTATGGGGCCTGTTTTTTATGTGGATGAGTGAGTTTTGGTAAGAAAAAATATATGAGCTGAAAAACAAAGGGGTATGGAGGGGAGGGGAGGAGGGGAAAATGTAGGGGGTAAGGGAGGTGGCTTCTACTTGCCGTATTTTTCGTGCCATTTAGGTAAAACGTGCATCAGCTGTCCTTCGAGTATGCCCTGGTAGTAGAGATATGGGAGGTAGGAGAAGGAGTTGAGGAAAGGTCCGGGGATGTGAGATAACGGGTGGAAGTAACGGCGGTAGATGAAGAGATAGATGTTGTAGACGGCAAACGAGGCGACGAGAGGCGGCCAGATGCCTCCCATGGAGAGAAGAGAGGTAATGAGTGCCATTTTTGTGATGTAATTTTAGAACCCTCGGGGGCTTGCAGCGTAGAAGAGAAGAAAAAAAAAATTGTAAAAATATTTTGAAACCCTGGAATTCGTTTTGGAGTCATGATGAAATGATACCTATATATATATACACACACACTGAATATTGGAATATTAGTAAGGTACGTAGACAGAGTTCAAGGGTCCGTTCGTATCCACCGGTACTAAGAGTCTCTCAGGTGAAAAGAGTAACCATAAATACTGAATCAGAATTCATCAAGTCTTCTTACTGAAATAAAACACTGACATCGCGGCCCGGAGCCAATAAGGAACCTACCAGCCAAGGTGAGTGTTGATAATCGAGTGGCTGCATGTTCAGTAAGCAAGCCAAACTCTATTCAGTTCAAAATCATGCAGCACTGGCAGGTCCAAAAAAATCCTCTGTCCTATCAGGTTTGAGGGTGCAGATGACATAGGTATCTAGTGAGATAAGCTTCCTCTATAGTTAGGTGTCTAGAACATTGTTCTGCGTCAAAGTGTTAGCCGGAGCGGGGGACGAAGGCGAACTCGGCATGTATGGTCAGCCTAAAAAGGGAAGGAATGCCTTTTTCGGTGCGACGATAGTCGTGGATTTAAGGCACATAGTTTCGGATTCTCACTCAGCACTAGCACTTTGCTGCATGTACTGTAGTGATGATTAATAATCCTGTCTGCAAATCGAGACATTGTGACGGCGGAACCGAGCGGCAGTATACTACATTAACCATTCAGCCACCTTCCAGTAAAAGAGTTGCGAGTATTGCAAGTTCAACGATGTGCAAAGTAAATACTTATGTCACATCGCAGAGAAATCTAGTCTAGCTGCCAAAGAATATTAGCAATTTATGCCACAATCACGAGATGAGAGGGCGCTCAGCCGAAATTTCAATTGATAGTTATTTAATCATTGGTTTACCTACTATGTGAAGG